CTTCACAGCTATTTGTTGTCATCATTATCATTCTCCCTTACACTTTTTTCTTACCCACAAAGATGAAAAAAACAAAAAAAACTCAAGAGATATGCAAATGCAAGTAAAAGGTGAAAAAAACTAGACATACGATTGTGTAGATGATGGGATTTGCGTAATGTGTGGATATGAATAATTTCATGTAGTACATAATTTCATGTAGTACTGAGTATATTGTACTAGTGTTCCTCAAATCAGAGCAAAGACCAAGACTTAACTATAAGATTCATCATTCATGGAATGTGGCCCTTTCAAAGTTTCCTTTTGAACCCACAAGAGTCCTTTCTTTGTTCCTACAAATTTTGTCCTTTGTATAATTCTAAAGCATTTTTTTTGTGTTTATTAACAATACACTATTACACTGGTCTATATTTGTTCTCGAGTGCATGGCGTTGAACAACGTTGTTAATTAGTGTCGCAAAAGAGATTATGTGTGTTTGTTATATGAATCTTTCTCTTTGGGTGCGAGTGTAAATGAGTTTTGATGAGCCCAAACTTGATAATTAAAGAGCAAATGAGTGTCTCTTTGATAAACACCATCTACAAATTGGGATACATATTTGGATTTTGTGATGGCTTCGCACATAGCTAATTCATATCAAGTGACACCAAATGGGTGTTTTGGCCTCTTGGGCTAGTGATTAGTTCTCGGTCCCTCCAAAGATTGTGCGTCTTTGAATGTTTTCCTCTATGAGAGATGTCAGGCCCGACCCAATTTGATGTGGTGCCAAGGTAAAAAAGTTTTAGTCTTTTTTTATCTGACGAAAAAGAGTCTTAATTTATCAATTTTTTTTGTTTTTTTAAAATGCTCTAAACTCGGACTAAATTTGCTTTTAAAACACATGGGTCCAGTGCATTTGCACTGCGCCTAGACCGGGCAAGAGATGTATGAGCTTCCGACCAGAACTTTTCGATTAACCTTAAAAATTAATATCAAGTGATTAAGTTGCAAAGTTCAGTGGCTGACAACATTGTGAGTGCATTAAAGTATGGCTCCAATCAGCACAAACAAAGCAGGATCAATGGCATGTTCCGGACAGAAATAGCACCAGATTTAGTCAGTATACTACTAAAATCCACACTAAACCACCAACAAAATAATGTCAAAATGTGAAAAATCTCATGATTAACCGTCAAAAAAGTGTTTAAGGAAACTCTCAAGTTATGGAAGTAATGCATGAACTGATAGAAAAATAACACACAAAAGTCTTGAAGAAATTCAGCAAATTATTTGTCAATAAAACGAAGATCCTACAAATGATCCCAAATCAGGCTAATCAGTTCTAATAACGGATTGGCGGGAAGAAGAGGTTTGAGAGCAAACCAAACACCAACCGGTTAAGATCCGGTTCAATTGTTTTTTTTTGGTTTTAACTAAAGCATATATTGTCAATATAAAAAAAATATCATAAGCAAATTAATGGAAAAGAACAAGAATTATTCAACAGATTACGATTTGCCAACAACTTGTAATCATTTCATTCAAACACAAACATATGTAATTGTTAATTTTAGTTGACTTTCGAAGAGGACTTAGACCGAAAAATCACCTAAAATCCGATACATTTTCACATAATCTCATCAAATCCAACGGTCACCATTAAATTCCATATATT